GTGCATGACGATGTTTCAGGATTGATAGTGCGAAAAATTGGAATGCTACCACAGTGGACGGTCGAAGGGGAACGCATCCTCTGCACTCTTCTAGAAGTTTGCGAGGTATCAATTTTTGATGTGATTTTCTCTATTTCCAAAAATAAACATGATGAAGGACATTACATTGAACATTATCTTCCTTTCATTTACTTTCTTGTGGGAAAACTACACTTTGATGAGTTTATATTGTAAAGTTTGCTCTGTTATAACAATTTGATCAGGCACAGTGAAATGTTTATTTATCATATCATTTAACTCCAAGCCAAATTCTCTATTTGAATTAGCTATTGCTCGCTATGTGTAGTACTAAGCCCTCCTTAATTGAAGCTCGTCGAAGTGCAATTCTATACGTTGTACTGTATTTCAGAATCATGTCATCAGCGTAGTATCGCCAGAGGAATGGTATCGCAAGAGTATTGTTGGAAAGAGGAAAGCTTTTAACAGGGAGGGACCACTGTGGAAGGTAGTAAACATTTTATTGAGTTTATTGAAAAGGTTTTAGAGATTTCTGAAGTACATTTTTGTCTTAGGTCACTGTGGGTGCTGTAAATGGTGACTCTGATAGGTTCACTCGAGCATATCGTAATCAGTTCACGCGTGCTTGTGTACCTGTCAAAAAGCATCTGGGGTCGTTTTTGGTATGTAAATTTCAAATTATTTGAGTTTTGACTAATGTATCTTTCGTTGGAATGTTTCTTGTTTTCCCAGTGAAGAGCTAGCAGTTTTCTAGGTTTCTGAAGAAGCACTCCCTAGTGTAGGAACAAGCTTGGATGTTCGACATTTTAATGTGGGACAGTATGTTACTGCCACAGGAAAAACGATTGATTGGGGATTTCAAGGAGGAATGCATCGTTGGGGTATGAGAGGACAACCTGCTAGAAAGTACGTAACCAATAATCTATCTCATTTTTTTCTCCTTAATTAAAAAAAATTTAGCACTACCAAATCACATCGTCGTATCGGATCTATAGGATCAACTGGTGATGCACGCGTATGGCCGGGAAAACGAATGCCTGGACATATGGGTTACGAATGGGTCACTGTTAGTGGACTTGAGGTATCTGTGTTCCTTT